CTCAAAATTTCCAGGCAACTTTTTGCCCAGTAAGTTGACAACTGTTCATATAGGTTAATACAGGAATGATGTAAACTCCTAGAAACTGCCCAACATCAGAGAAGAGACATTCTTTGTCAGTAAAATCTGCAGCAGCTCAGAAAGGGCTCGCTCTCCACGTGTCACAGCCTGAGGATGAAATAGCAGGAACACTACCTATGCATCTTAGGAACCCCAAGCTGGGGAAGGGGTAGATTCCAAACCTTAGGTTTTCAGTTATCAGGTTAGTGCAGAATTTCTGGGAAGGGGCTCTGCCTCTGGTTGCGGTTCCAGGGCTCTCATGCTGGAAAGGACAACCAATACTAACAAGCACTGCTAGGGCTCTCAGAGCGCCAAGCATCTAGTTCCCTAATGAGTCAGAACTTATTTTTGACATCAGGGCCTGTAAGAATTTAAAAAAACAGACTTAACCTTATGGTTTTTCATTTTTTGAACCACAATAACCTGACTATGTTACAATCTTTTAAAGAAAAATGAGAAATTTGGAAAGAGTTTGCTTTATAGAATTTTTTTTTTCTTTTTAAGTTCCTCAACTAAGAAATCTAAGGCAAGAACTGAGAATGAAGAAGTCAGCTTTCAAGATATCTGTAGTTATCAGCACTTTCTGTTAAACATCTAAAATCCATGTGAAAGTTTGTTTATTTGGTTACAGAAATGAGTGAAAACCTTCCATTTTCTTGATGGGAAAGAGGTTATTGTAAGAATACATAAGCTCAACTTATGCTGGTAAGGGGAGCAAAATGGGAGTCTAAACTTTAAAAATCCCTCACCTTCATTTAAAAAAATAAAGTAGGAGCAGTCAGAAACTACTGTACCTAAAGCTGGTAATGAAGTTTCCAGAGGGTGAGACTTGCCAGAACCCTGCCCATACACCAGTGCAGCACCTGCCATCCCTTCAGGGGGGAAGTGAGGTTCACACCGTCTGGGGGGCAGGAATACGTGATGGCTAAAAGCTGATACAGGAACACAGATTACTCCAGAATTCACCCCCAGCAAAAGCTGTTGTTAGGAGAA